TCCAATGGTGATTTTTTAGATACTCTTTCAGGGCACAGCATTAAAATGCAGCTAACAAATCTGCTAATTATTATATTTCTCAGTATTCAAACATTTGATACAGCATTAGAAGCAGATACAGCATTGAACATGAAGGTTTTTGTTGTTTTTTTTTTTTATGTATTTGACTCTGTGCATTTCAGAGGCTGTACATTATTGCCACGCTAGCACGAAATGTAAACAACATAAAGCCCTCAGGCTTTAGTGTCCTGAGGTATGAAATGAGGAATAAATAACACATAAGGGAGCTATGCACCACATTTATTGCAGTCCCCGTGCCTACTGGATTCAGACATTTGGTATGACTTCTTTTTGCCCTCTCCAACATCTGTTCACTCACTTCTGTCCTCACCATAATCTTTGCAGAGAATCATGACCTGTTTTTCCCTCTGCATTGTGAAGAAAGGTCGGGTTATTTCCTAAGCTGGAAGTCAGAAAAGTCTGAAATTGTGCACATGCGCAGAGACACCATTTCACCTGGGAACAGTGCTGACCCAGCACACTAAAATTCAGCCCCTTTGCACTTAAGTCGGAGACAGCCCCTTTAACATCATGATCCAATTTCTGCTGAAGGACCTAGTACTGAAGAAGTAATGCTCACACATTAAATGAAGAAATGGTTATACCAAACTGTAGATGGTTTGGTTGTAGTTATAACATAGTTATAGTTATAACCTGTTGTAGTTATAACATTAGTGAGGTTATAACATTATAGTTATTACATTACAGGTTATAATGTTATAGTGAGTTATAACTTTAAAGTTAGTATAGTTATAACCTTAAAGTTAGGTTGTAGTTATAACATTAAAAAATGTGTTTTTTTCCTACTGCTGGAATGAAGTTCACAAATACTTGTATTTATACATCACCAGATTTGGCTACTGTAATCATACATAATCATCGGTCTAATCCTACAGAACAATGTACATAAAGAAGGTGGAGGATGTAATAAATAGAGGTCCATAGGAGATAATAGAAGAGGAGCAGTGCTGAAATGCTAGCCTGTGACCATTTAATTACAGACTGTTAAATAAAGCACAGCAGGGGCTAAGTAGGGGTAATTTGCACAACTATTTTTGGGTCCTATTCCACTTTAAGAATACTCTATTTTAGCAGACTTGAGAAACGCCTTTATTTTTCTGTGTTGAGAGTTTGCGAGATTTTCTCAAGAAATCTAATTTCATCACTCTGGAGCAAAGATAATAGATGACAGTAAACCATCTGTTATTTGGAAACTGCTGCTGGCTGCGTTGTGAGCCTGGCAGGACATCCTCGATGCTGCCGGCCTCATGGGCTGCACAGCGTCCCAGGGCACCTTGAACAGCACCTCCCTGTTTGCACCCTCGGTTGGCTGGGTCTCAAGGGTTGTGTCAGAGCCTCCAATCTGGCTTTCTGAGGAATCAAAGACAGAAACATTATGGTTGGAAAAGACCTTCAAGACCATGGAGTCCAACCTTAAGCTCATCCTACCATACCTGCTAAACCATGTCCCTAAGGACCTCATCCACATGTTTCTTGAACACTGCCAGGCAACGGGACTCCACCACTTCCCTGGGCAGCCTGTTCCAGGGCTTCACCGCTCTTTCCGTGCAGAAATTCTTCCTAACATCTAACCTGAACCTCCCCTGGCACAACTTGAGGCCGTTTCCTCTTGTCCTATCGGTTGTTATTGTGGGGAACAGATCGACCCCTGCCTCTCTACAACCTCCTTTCAGGTAGCTGTAGAGAGCTGTAGAGAGCGATAATGCTCCTGACCCTCCTATAACCCCGGCTCCCTCAGCCGCTCCTCATGAGGTCTCTGCTCCAGCCTCTTCCCCAGCTTCACTGCCCTTCTTTGGATCACTCCAGCACCTCAGTGTCTTTCTTGTAGTGAAGGGCCCAAGAAAAAAGACCTGGGAAAGATTTGCTAAAGGCAAGTGTGAGATTCTTCCATCCATATGTGCTGCTGCAACACTATGCCAGGAATCTAGCAGAAAAATGTTTCCTCTGGAGTGAGGGCTGCAAGGCATGGTCACCTGAAGTGTCTCTCTGTGTTTGCCTGTTGTATTTACATGGGCTATATAAATATATGTATTCTCAATAGCAAACAATTCTCTCTTGGCAAACAAGTTCCCTGAATTGAAAAAAAAAAAAATGTTTCTTATAAATCTCTCCATTTCTGAGTCTCCATGTCTGAATTCTTCAGTGTAATATTTAATGAATGCCTTCATTTTTGTCTTGAAAGGGAGAGCCAAAAAACATCAAAGCTACAAGTTTTCCTGTTTTAGATAAAATATGCTGACATTTCACCAAGAGGGAGGATTTTTAATAGATCATAGCATTCCTGTCCCTAAGTATGTCTTAACAAAATCTCGTTGGCGCTTTCCAGTTTCACATTCATCCTATTTATAGGCCTAAAATAGAGCCTTCTACAGAAAGAAATCATGTGATCTGTAGTTTAAATGGTTCGCATAAACAAAGACCAAAACAAAAGCTGCACAAAATCTCTTATTTGTTGTACAGTGTTTTGTACTGAAGAGAGTGACCCTCCCCTGTTTGAGTATTAACATGGACAGTCTGTAAAGCACTTACTTTGAAAGGAAAGTTATGTTTCATTTTCCCCCTGTGTCAGATGAGGAGTGATTATTAACTAAACGTTTAGGGATGGTCTAAGCCATTTTTTGCTGAGAGCTTTCTTAGGAGATCTGGAGCTTTGTTTGAGAGGTTTAAACAGAGGAAGCTGCTTTTTTCTTTGTAGTTTGATCTTTGGAAATCTATTCTTCCAACAGAGTAACACTTTGGATTTCCAATTTGAAGCCGTATCTGAGAACGGCACGTGCAGTTAACATGCTTGCACATACGGTTGGCAACATGTCATTACTAAAGGAAAGACAGCAATTCTGCAGTAAGCAACTGGTCTTCCTGGGGCTGAGCACTGGATCTGGCCCAGCACAGCACAGTTGGTACCTGCTGAGCTAAGCTGATGAGACCTCTCAAATGCCAAACTAAAGCATGCAGTTATTTACTTAGCACCCAAGAGCCATGCAGCTGTCACTTGAAAATTGCTTTTTGACTGTTCTTGATTTTTTTCTTGGTGCAGATAATTTAGAACTCCTCTATTGAGGGGAGTTCCAGTAGCACCATTGACTCTGTGCCCTGACAAGGTGATCAAGCTACATGATCAACCTCCACCTCATTGCAACCTTCATGGGGGTAGTAATCAATACTGTAGAGAAAAGCAAAGGATCCACCAAGAAATCTCTCCGACAGTGTATGCAATACAGTGTGAAACACAAACAGTGACAGAAAATTGAAGAAAAAACAGTAAAACTGTGACTGAAGATAATGACTATAATGTTTTGTGGCTTGTGACACAGACAAAACTGAATTCAGATGTTCTTGGCTAGATAAAGCACAGTACAGATTTGGTTACAGGGTGGGGGGAATTTTGGCAGTGACAGGTGATAACAAGAGCACAAAACCTTTTTTATCATACAGAGCTCCTCATTTGTATAGGAATAGTGATTCCTACATATTCCTGTTTCCTGAAGACTCACCTAAAATGAATGTGGTGTGCAGCATAGTTATGTCAATGAAAGCTGGAGTCATTTATAAAGTCTAATTTGTTTGCGTTGATTTATACTGCTGTCATATTAAAATCAAATTGCTTTAAATCAAATAGGCCATGAAGTGACAAGAATAGCTTGTGCACAGATACTATGTCTATATATATATATACTCAAAAACTAGCAAGTAAGACTTGTGTCTCATGTCAAAAAGTCTTCTATTTTGGGTGTGGATGGAGACTGTTTTCTATTGGTGAATGTTGCACAAATCAGAATCTATTTTACTCTGTTCTAGCTATGAACGTCTCATTAGAGAGACTGATAGTGCATGTTTGGGCAGGCTCTGAAATCCATTTTCTTTTAATTGATGATTTTCTTATTAGCTCCTTTTCACTGTAGGGAATATAGGCTCTGACAGCTCGTTCCTTGAACTAATATTTATAATTGCTTTGGAAATTCAAAATTGAGGCCATTCTTTCCAGTCAGTGAAGGGGCTAGTTTTACAGGTTCCCTAGTTCAGTGAGTTTTCCATCAGCTTCATTTCATTTTTGCCAAGGGTGGGAGAGGAGAAGGTCGCGAATCGTCCTTCCAAAGGGTTCATTCCATGTTCTCTCTCCCAGCTTAGCTCCTTGTATCTATTTGGGAGGATTCTGACCAGGACACGTATGCCAATGTGCGATTTAAAGCACTGTTTGCAACCAGTGCATCTCAACTAGTGAATGCCCCTGGATGAGCTCCAGCTGGATTAGAAGGTGCCATGATGAAGTCATAGCCATGTTTTTCGGTATGGAAAGCACACCAAATTGCCGTATTGGGAACTGGCTGTGGCCACCAACTGTAACATTTCTGTTGTGTCACTGGATACCCACGGCTTCAGGAAGACTTCTCTTTGTTTGCTTTAATATTGGTCTGGCTAAGGGATAATGTCTGTGCTTGTATGAAAGTGTGTGTGTACACGTGTGGGCACACATCCATTTTATAAATCAAAAATAATATATCTGATTAATTTAACATCTACCTCTGATTTATTTAACATCTGAATGATTATATCCTTCACAAAACACCTTACATTTAAAGTATACTGCTCTTTTATTTTTTAAATTTTAAGAGATTTATGAGTTATCATACACAAGATATCCTGACTTCTGTACAAAAATTTTAGTTTTTGCAGGACTGACTAATGCTGTGCTTACTTAGGAACTAAAAATAGCTTCAATTTAAAGCATCAGTAGTAAACACCATGCATACTGTAAAACTGCCCTTGCTAAAACTGACAGACCTGACGTCTGGATAAACGTCTAATAGATCAGCTGAAATTTAACGTCTAAATTGACAATTAGTAGTTCTTCTCAATTTTAAGAAGGTTTTATCCTTTCTTATCCTAAGGGTTTTTGTTTTATTTTCTCCTCCATACAGTCCAAAGCTCTTCGGGAAAAATGGCTGGTACAGGGGAT